GCGGCAGCAGCAGCAGCAGCATACCCAACGCCGCGGCAGCAGCAGCCGCAGCAGACCACCCAGCGCCAGCAGCAGCAGCAGCAGACGACCCGGCGCCTGCAGAGCACCCAGCGCAGCAGCGCCCAGCGCAGCAGCGGCAGCAGCAGCACCAGCAGCAGCAGCACCAGCAGCAGACCACCGGAAGCCCGGCTAGCTTTCGTTCACCCCCTCTGGCCTCAAGTGAGACATACCCCCGTGAAAGACCCAATGCCAGCGACCGCGTTCCAGAACGAAGACAAGCTGTAGCAAGGGATGGATGTTTTGTTGGGTGCAACAACCTGCTTCAGAGGGACAAAGTTTCAAATACATGGGAACAAACGCAGGATACTTTGAATACCGGCTACCGGAGTTTTAAAGAAATGCGATAAAACGTCAAAAATAACGACACTAATAACATTTTATAGCCTCGATGAGATTGTCAACTTCAAGCGTAAGACGAGAGCCAAATACAGACAGAACAGCAACAAAAGCAACAACAGCAACCAAGACTAAGACCAAGAGCAAAAACAAGAAGAGGACAAACCTTTATCCATAGAATACCTGCCCCTGCTAGAAATCTTTCCTTTGCTTACTAACTTACCTTTCACTCCTTGCTCGCTTTCGACCCCCCCTTGGCCTCAAGTTTTATTGATCTTTTGATAACACATGAACGCAATGTAAGTCCTTTAGCTATGACCAGGCCTTCAGTCTATTCTATTGAACGTATCCGTATCCTTAAATACGTCAAGTGCTGTTCGTAGTGCCTTAGATACCGTCATATTTTTGATTTCAGGCCTCCATGGGCGCAATGCATGATCAAAGTGCATCTCCTCAAAATTTAACCATCCATTTCTGACCGGGGTATGTCTCGGTATCAACCCCCCAAAGCTATTCATCCAATGTGCTTTTTCAAAACTATAGGGCTTTGTCGTTGTTTCATTGGCTAAAATTTTGTGAAACGTAAGACATACCCCCGTGGAAGACCCCACAAAGGTGGATGCTATGGGCCACCATTCGCGCTATGGGCCACCATTCGCGCAACACATCCAAACTGTTGCAATTCCAGCAATTCTGAACCGCAATCCTACCAAATAATAACAAATCTCAACCTGAAACCTGGCAAAGTGCGGAGAAAACTCATTAAAGTTGCCGCAAATGCCAAGAAATCTCAACCTCACTCAGACCTACGAAATTGCTGTGAATACTAGCAAATCTCAACCTCAAGGCTCCAAAAGTGCTGCAAATACCATCAAGTTCCAACCTTTAAGTTACCCAAGTGTCACAAATAGCAGCAAATCTAACCACCAAAGCTTAAAACAAAAATAAAAAACCAACAACAATCAAACATTAAGTCGCGGCCCTTCAAAAAATCCTCAGACCAGACCTCTCCCCACCCAGCCCGATGGCACCCTCTTAAGGGGGGTCAGGCGAGGTCTACTTTTGCGAAGCGGTTTGGGAATCTGTGGGTATTTTTTTTGGTTTTCGTGTGCTTTGTACCGTGTGTGTTGGCGGCAGGGGTTTGCGACCCTTCAGGTACCAATTTTTCAGGAGGGATTTGGCATGCTTCACCTAAGAACCGCGCTCGAATTTGTTAACACAACGAGCGCTTTTATGTACATTTTTCGGAAGGGATTTCTTTCAAGTCTACTCTCCTGCATATTGACATGGACCCCGAAAAGCACTGGCGGTAGATGAGAATCCTCTTACAGGGGTCCAACAGCTTTCTGCACAGTTCCCTTGTAGCAAGTTTCCATGGGGGTGTCTGGGTTCTAGGTTAGGTATTTGATCTTGGTTCTTCTCCAGTGATTTGCTCGGATTCTTGCCAGCCACACTCGGTCAGAACTCCTCAGGCGCATGCGAAGCAGGATTCGGCTGAGGACCCGAAGGGCTGCAAATGCTGGAGATACAACTAGGGTAGCATCCAAAATCCACTGGTAAGGCTGGTAAGATGAAAGAATTGACTGATAAGGCTGGTCCACTTTGCGCCTCTGAATTGGACCGGGGGTGGCAAGGATATATATATATATATATCAGCTTCCAGCATGCATTTTAATTTAGGGAACCGTACTAAGATTTGTGTCATCCCTCTTCTCTGAACAAAGCCCTCTTCTCGTCCCATCTGAATCTGGCCAAATCAGAGATCCCGGCTGTTTTGATACGTGTACATGATGAGAGCACCAGCAAAAAGGCACGGTGACCTTCACAACACAAGAGCTCTACTCACGGAAGAATTCCAGAGCAAATTTCCTCCGGATGTACAAATGCATATCCCACTACCTATATTGTGACATGAGGTAGACTATGTGACCAACTCTTTTGACAGTAGTGCCCACCAAACAGCAGTTTATCTCCTTCGCACCGTGTGAGAACTTGTTGAAACTTAAGGATTCGTTTTGTCTGCCTCCGCAGGAGAAAGCCTCGGGCAAGGCTGGCTGCAAGCGGAAGTCAAGGGAGGCGTCCTCGTTTGGTGGAGTTAGGTGAAATGCTGCCATGCCGATGTTGAATCAAGTTCTGTGTGAACGATACTATGATAGCGTAAATGGCCCTGCTAGAAGGGGACATGTTCCATGTCCTACAATCCAGTCCATCTTTCATTTTGCCAAACAAAAGAACATGCAAAAGGAGCCTTTCAAAGGTCAATGATCACCAGCGAACGATCTGACAGAAGCGTGCCTCCGGCCTAGCTGACTGAGTTCATGAATGGATTTGGAAAGGGCTCAAGGGCTCGACTTGGGGACGGAAGAAGCATCCGAACCTATTTTCCTTCCCTGGCTCACAGCGCTAGTTGTTGGTTTGTTCCTTTGGCCAAACATGGGCCTGGATTTGTGGCTGAGCCGGCTGCACATCATGACCGGGAAGCCTGATCAGTTTGACCCCTTTGTTTAAAAAAACAACCAAACTCATTGGCTCATTGGTCTTCAACCCTTTTGGTTGAGGTCTCCTAGCTCATCCCCTACTACCCGCAAGGATAGGGTAGTGGCCTGCCTGTTGCCTCCCCTGGACAACCCGGTTCTTGCACCCCGGGGATGTATTGAACCCGCATGGTCTGACCTCTGACCAACCCCCCTTCATCTGCTCGTGGGTTTTCAAGATCCTCTGACCAACCGCCACTGGTCTTCAGGAGGATCTTCCCCAGCAACTGGGCCGCGCGCTGAGCGGTGCCGCCCAGAGCGTAGGCGGTGGGTTCCGGGCGGTTCCGGGCGGTTCCGGGCGCCGCACGGGAGACCGTGCGGAGGTGAGCGAGGATCTGGGTGGAGGATCCGAGTTGGGATGAATCCAAAAGGGATACCAGACCCAAACCTTGCAAAGTTTCCGTTGGGGTTTCCTCATGGTTTCCTCATGCTATACTGTGCATACACATAAACGGGTGCTCTTTTTCAGGAACGGGACCAGAGTATCAACTTTGAGGCGACCGGTAGGTGAAAAAGGTGTTCTTTTTCGTTTCAGATGTCCGCCGTTCTCGGGGCTTCCTTAAGCGCTTTCTGATGGTTTCCTTCGACCTGTGGCTTTGTTCTTTTTTTTCTTTTGCTTTTTCTTCACCAAACGCTGACCCCAAAGTTCCTTGCCGCCTGCTCGTTACAATCGATTTTCTTGGCAAACTGCCAAGATTGCATGATACAATGATACTTCTTTGACTCGGGAAAACACCACGGGTTCCTCTTCTTCAAAACGCTGCGCCCTGGACGTTGCGCCTTTTCTTTCACGTCAGCTCGTGCGCGCAAGACTGCGCACTCCGCGGGGCATCGGATCTCCGCGGGGCATCGGATCGACTGGGGTGGAGCGACTAGGGGCACGGGGAGCCGGCTGCACCAGCTGCATTGGCTGCTAGCTCACCAATGAATTTGAGGACGCCGCGATGTGGCAGGTCTGAAGTTCTAATGTGGAGCAAGCTTGCGAGCTCGAAGATGCTCCATGGTCATAGTGAACCGGGGTCATTCTGTCTGGAGAAGTGGAGGAGGAGATGAAATACTATGAAGAAGAGCAGGGACAAACTGCCGAGGAGGTTGTGGAGAGAAGAGACAACTCATCAGCCACACACTCCGACCACACTCTCCGGCCACAATCGGAGGTGTGGTTTCTCATCCTCCTTGATAGTCTTTGCAGGAAAGGCAACTCTTCTCGATCTTCGGGCTCCATTTGCCTGCGCCACAGGCGAGTCCGCAGCAAGGGCGGTGAAGAGCAGGGTCGAAGAAGCCAAGGAGTCACTGCAGGCTGAGGCGGGTGGGTTGGTAGGGTCGGTGGGTCGGCAGGGAAAGCAACGAAAAAACGCACTGTCGGGCAGGAGGGATTGATCCTGAGTGAATCCTTGAAGGAATCTTATGGAATCAATTTCTCATATTTAATCTCTTCGGGCCTTTCTTCTCATCTCTTCATTCATCTGCTACCTGGGTGAAACAAAGACATCAGAAATTGTCCACTTCGTTCTTTGAACTGCTGTGGTTGGCTGCCCCGGCAGCACAACTCTTCTGTGACGGAAGACTGGTTTGGGGTGTGAAAAGCAGCCCAAACCAGTAAGTTTTGGTCTGTTTCAGATACTTTTTGGAGACCTGTGGAGAGGTCTCCCCATTTCAATGCATGGTTGGCAAGGGATTTGCGTACTTCACTTCTGTTGATGCTAGTGATGCCTATGAAGATACCAGCATGACCTGCATCACCTTTGCATAGGGTAATTTGGGATAGGCCGGCTGAAAACCATGTCGGACCCATTTTGAGAGGTCTAGATTCATTTTGTGTATGATTTGTTCCCTAGACTTGGCCCAACAAGTTGAGAAGGACCCTCAAGGATATGTTCTTTCGTGATGCCCGAACTGAAGGAATCAAATCCTCAGGCAAAAGCCTTCAAATCCTCCCGAGAACAACGCCGCCTGCTCGCTCCCGGCGCGAGCGCCTCCCTGCGCTCCCTCCCTGCGCTCCTTGGGGCAGATTGGCGCCCTGCCGAAGAAGATCAGCAGCGCAGCGCAGGAGGCTGTGGAGGAGCAGAAGCAGAAAGTGAGCTCGGAGGCGAATTTGCGAGGTCGAAGGGAGAAGGTGAAGGCGATTTCGGCTTCACCATCGGGACGAGTCCGACTTGCCAGAGTCCAGAGGTCGAGAAGAGTTCCCGAGGTCGAGAGTGGAGTTGCCTTGGGAGAACAAGCATTTTTTTTCCTAGGTATGATGGTAATTTGGATGTTGGAATCCGACTGGTGTGAACTTCTGGGCAAAGACTGGAGCTTTTACTGGCCCTTAGATACGGCTTAAGCAGCGCAGACTGCTGAATGTTGGGAGTGCATGACAGCTTACTTGATAATTGAAGAGTGGCACCAGAATGCACAGTGATCCTCAGACTCCCTACTCTCGAAGGAATTCGCATTAGATGAATATCCATCGGCACCTTGTTTGCCATGCTGATGCTGTTCGGTCCCACATCCGAAACCACGTCCCTCAAAGGTGAAGTTCTCTTCGGTCCGGCCAAATCCCGAACGAATATCACGGCTTTAGCCGGTTCAAAACCGACTGAAAACAAGACACCGAACATGTTCCCAGAGTTGGTTGAAGGGAAAACGAACAGGACACCCATTGTTTTGGGGGGTGAAAATCATGGCTTCCTGCAGATTTCCCTTAAGCCCATCCATGATTCTGCCGGGCAGCCACACCCACCTTGTCGCCTGGCTACTTGGGCGCGGGAAGCTCCAGATCGCGGAATTGCAGCGCTCAGATCGCGGCGATCCCCAGCAAGCTCACCAGCGCTGCGCAAGAGGCGGTGGACCAGCAAAAGCAGAAGGCCGGGCCGGTGATGGGCTGGTTGCCGGGCGCGAAAGTCGTGGGAAGATGCGGGGAACTCTTGTGGTTGAGCTATGGAGTTCCACCAACTCCACCCTGCCTGCTTCAAACTGAAGCCTCTCCCAAAACTCCACCGGAGGGCGCCCGGATGTTCCCACCAAAAAGGCTCCCAAGCTCCAAACATGGAGATCAACTCATTCCAGAGATCAACCACTGTACCTGAAGTCCTTGATTTCAAGGCACTCGACCCTTGCACCGGGACTTGGACGGATGGGATGAGACTCTCAGGTGAAGTTCTCTTCGGTCCGGCCAAATCCCGAACGAATATCACGGCTTTAGCCGGTTCAAAACCGGCTGAAAACAAGACACCGAACATGTTCCCAGAGTTGGTTGAAGGGAAAACGAACAGGACACCCATTGTTTTGAGGGGTGAAAACCAGGCCTTCCTGTAGATTTCCCTTAAACCCATCCATGATTCTGCCGGGCAGCCACACCCACCTTGTCGCCCTACTTGGGCGCGGGAAGCTCCAGATCGCGGAATTGTAGCGCTCAGATCGCGGCGATCCCCAGCAAGCTCACCAGCGCTGCGCAAGAGGCGGTGGACCAGCAAAAGCAGAAGGCTGGGCCGGTCGCGACGGGCTGGTTGCCGGGCGCTAAAGTCGTGGGAAGATGCGGGGAACTCTTGTGGTTGAGCTATGGAGTTCCACCAACTCCACCCCGCCTGCTTCAAACTGAAGCCTCTCCCAAAACTCCACCGGAGGGGCGCCCGCATGTTCCTAAAATGGCTCCCAAGCTAAGGGTCCAAACATGGAGATCAACTCATTCCAGAGATCAACTACTGTACCTGAAGTCCTTGATTTCAAGGCGCGTTCAGAACTCGACCCTCGCACCGGGACTTGGACGGATGGGATGAGCCCCCCCAATGAAGGCTGCTGTGCACCTGTAGGTCATGCTTTCTTCTTTTTAAAGTGTTTTAAAGACCTTTTTGTTGCATAGAGGGTCGCACAGACCGGGTGTGGCCCGAAATCTGGGCGTTTCACACATTCATCACCAAGGGAGCACCTGGGTTCCGACTCAGAGCGTGGTTGTTCCCGCGGTTCCTGTGCTTGCAGGTGGCCGCTGAGGTCGATGCTGCCGTCGAGCGAGCCAAGCAGATGCCCAAGGAGATGCTGGTCGTTGGGCTTTCGATGAGAGGATCCAAAGGACAAGAAATGAATGGATGGAAACTCCCCAATGCCAACCACTCCCTATGTATATAAAGGATTCCAATTGCCAGTTCCAAGTTCCAACCATTAAATGGGTTGGCAGGATTAGCTGGCCTGGATGGACGAAAACTGCTCTCTAGTGGGCCACCTGAAAGCTGGTTGTCTCTGAGGGAGTCTCTTTTGGTCTTCTTGACCCCCCCAAATTGCCCTCCGGCTGGGTCTGAAAGGGGACGAGGTCGATTTGGGTGAGGAGGTCGCTAAGTCGAATGTAGTCGAAGGGTCCCAGTGAAACATCGGAGCATCAGACCGCAGGCTCCATGCTTTTCTGGAAACACACCAACCGATTCGGCGCGGTGGGCCAGAACTGATGGTCCGACGCAGAACTGATGGTCCCAAGTGATGAGGCGGACCCGCACGCATTTTCGACCCTCACATGCCGGTTTTCTTGGGACACAAAGAGCACCCAAATCCGGGATGGTCTGTGGCCACTAACCTTTCACCGTGGCCAAGTCTTTTAAGATTGAATCATATTGGCGGTTTTGAATATGTTCCAATAGCCGGTTCTGCCAGAGAGCATCGCCACAAAAATCATTTTTTTCATGTCTTCGCCGCATGGCCAGTTGGTTCCATGTTGCAAGGGACATGTCGACGGCCGGTCCTTGTTTGAGGCTCCTTGTTTGCCACTTCTCGAGCCACGACCACATCGGAACGACCGAACGACCTTGTGTAGGAGGTGGCCGAGAAAGCGGCCAAGAGGATCCAGCAGCTGCCACAGGCGCGACCCCGCAACGTGTGATTCACGCCCACGACGCGGCCGTGGGGAAGAGTGGTTGAGGTGATAGAGATGGACGTCACAACCAAAGCTGTGAACATGTGCTTTCAGGATGCGTGCGGTCAGAAAGTCTATTTGTGAATTTTGGGTTGGGGTTCCATTGCTGTGATATATATATATATATACAGTATATAATATATATATATATACTTACTGTATATATATATATATATGTTTTGGGACAAGCGTGAAGCTGGGCAGTTGCCTTGCACCTCAAGTGAAGCATTGCCGGGGATGGATAGACTGCATGGCCTCACGCTTGTTGACAGAAGGAGAGAATACTGCATGTTGCCGACAGGAAAGCGCACCATTGCGAAAGTAGGGGGGGTGACTGCATCTATGTCTTTACGAAAGCCAGCCAAAGTGAGTTCATAGGGTGCATGTGGGGGTGGCCTTTGATCCGTATGCCTTGATGATGCGGGTGATACCAAAAGACTTAGAATTGCATGTTTTGCATCATCAATTGCGGCCTCACCAGAAACCAGTCGGTTGGACCGCATGACCCGAGCAGCCAGGCAGGGGGGTGCGGACGAGAGTTCGCAGCCCACGGTGGGCGGTACCCTTGAATGACATCAGCAGCCGGTGGGCGTGGCCTGTCCATCTGGTTCCTTCAGCCAGCTAAGTCTTCAACTCCAAAAAGATTTGGAAGGAAGTTCTCCATCCTTTTTGGCCTCCAACGGTCCACATTCACCCCGTTTCTCCTGCCCGGTCCC